GGGGGGGGGGGAGTGTGTGTGTGTGTGTGTGTGTGTGTGTGTGTGTGTGTGTAGAGGGTGCACAAAGACCAGATTTCGGGGAGGCAGGGAGGGGAGAGGCAATCACACAGACCCAGGGGTCTAGTTTTGCTCAAAATGCTCCGTTTATTGCTCTATTCAATGACCACGAGCAAATTATAAAAAGACACCAAATGTCTCTGTCTGCCGTGGAATAAATATTTAAAGTCAGCAATAAAAACACGTGGCTCCAAGATAACACATGTTGCCAAGAGTCATGCACGCCCTGCTGCTGGGCTCTCAACACACGCATGGACACAGGAACACGCAGAGCGACACGCAGCGGGACTGCTGGGAAGGCTTTCCCACAGGGACACAGAGAAATGTTTCACACAGATCTGGGGCCCAAACCCCACCCCGCCCTCAGAGCTCCCCCTTCTTCCACCCCCACTGGGGCCCAGGTCCTCTGGGTTCACAGCCCCCCCTCCGTCCTTCCCCTCATGCCTCACAGGCTGGTCACTGCCTCCTGAGGGCATCTGACACCAGGAGGTCACCCTTGCTGTGACATTCCTCCCTCCCCATCCCAACCCAGAGACCTTTCCTCCAGCTGAGATCTCTCAGTCAACTCCTCTGGAGGTCCCCATCCGGTCCCCGTAATTGGGGCAAAATGCAATCTGCTGCATGGGAAGCGGGGGTGGGGGCCCGAGGCAAGTGCCTCGGTCTGGGCTGCTTTGGGGCTGGAGCTCACGACCCCTTTCCCGGGCTGAAGACACAGTGGCCGGTATAGACAGCAGAGATGGGTGGACAGACAGACACACTGCGGCAGGACACTTGGGAGTGCGGCACAGAAACGTTTTGGATCAAGTAGCAATGGAACCATAGTTAAAAACTGAGGCCCCAGGTCTGCATGGCGTGGGTCAGGCCCCAGAGCCCCAGGCCTGGCCTGGCACATCCCTTCCCCTTTCCGCCCCCCTCCCCAGTATGTACAGTAGGAAGAGCTATATTGGGGGGGGCTGGGGCCAGGCCAAGGCTGATGGAGGAGGAGGAGGAGGAGGAGGAAGGGAGGGAAGGAGGGAGCAGACTGAAGAGAAGGAAGCAGGAGGGGCAGGGATGGGGGGGCAGGCCAGGCCCAAGGCAGGGCTCTGCACGCGGCCAGGGTGGGGGCCCAGACTCAGGTTGAGTGGTGCCCAGAGGACCTCAGGGCAGGAGTGCCATCACTCTGGGGCCTGGCGGGACAGCTGCTTCTCGTAGAGGCTCATGACATGGTGCACGAACTGGTATTGCTCGCATGTCTGGATCATGCCGCCTCTGGGGGCAGAGACACACGGGGGCATGGGGTTGTGGACAGATGGGCTGTGGGAGGGCGCCCCCAAACCCGTGACTACCAATCATTTGCAAGGGGCCTTGTCTCTGTGTAGAGTGAAAAGTCCGATCCCTGCCAGCCACCCCCTCTGCTCCTTCCTGCCCCTCCTACCTCCACACAGATAGCGGGGTAGGGATGGCATGCCCCTCTACCTCTCGCCCCTGTCCTTCTGCTCACCAGTGGTGTTCCTGTTCCCTCCCCATCCAGCCTCCAGCTGTCTGGATCCAGCTGTCCTCTCTGCTCCCTACCTACCAGGCAGTCCATTTGCAGTGTGTCCTCTGGCCCCTGACCTCGTGCGTGCATCAGTTTCCCCCTGCTGCCCCGGTACTCTGGTTCCCCGTGGGCCCCCACCCCTGCGCCTGGGCTGACCTGTCCTGGCGGAGCTGGCACGTGGTCTTAAGGATGTCCACCACTCCCTCATGCCTCAGCTGCTGGCAGCAGATGCTGGTGGCAATGAAGCAACCCGTCCTGCCGATCCCCGCGCTGAGAGTGGAAGGATGCCAGGGTAAGGGACAGGGCATCTTCGGTAGTAGGGAGGCCACCCTGCCCAGGGGGCCGGCCGCGGAGACCCACCTGCAGTGGACGATGATGGGGGCACAGCGCGGCCCCTCCTGCTGGGCTGCCTCCTCCACCTCCCGCACCAGGTGCAGGAGTGGGGGCGCCCGGTCTGGGGTTTTCTGGTCGGGCCAGGACGTGAACCAGTAATGTTTCAGGCCTCGCTCTTCAGTCCCGCTCTGTCCAGGAGACAGAGACCCACCCTAGATACACGTGAACTCTTAGACCCCACAAATCAGCCCACAGAGGGGATGGGAGGAGCAGCAAGAACACAGCGAGGAGGGCCCAGGGAGTGGGACCGATGGCCTCTGCCGTCTACACCGTGTACGGCTCAGTGGCATCAGAGACCCAGAGCCAGCTTGGTAGTGAACGCTCATCAGTGATGCTGGCACTGGTCTTCACTGGCCAGTTCTGCCCCAGCAACTCCAGGATCATCCAAGAGAGGCGGAGTCCCTCTCCAATCCACTCCTGTCCTCTGGTTCTTTATCTTGACAAACCACCTGGTCACCCATTAGTCCCTTGCTCGGAATGCCGGGACTCTCCCTCTCCCATCACTGCTCTGCTCCGCCTGCTCTCCCCTGGCAAGTCTTGTCAGTTTTCTCTCCTCCGCACCAGCACAACCTATGCTTTGGCTTTTATCATCTCTGCCATCTCTCACTCTTCCCTGACTCCTCCATCTCCAACACGGCCAGACGTGGTCTGCAGCACCAATCTGGACGGGCCGCTATTCTGCTCAGAACCCTCCCAGGGCTCCTGCTGGTCTCCGAATAAACCCATTCTTCTCAGTCTTCAGTCTGGCAAACAGGAACCATGGTCCAGGGTCTAGACCTCCAGGCCCTTCTCCCACCCCTATATACTAGTACTCAATGCTCCTGTGTTCCAGTGGTCTGTAGATAAAACCTTGCCCCACCTCCCCCCACACCCTCAAGGCTAGTCTATCTTCCATGCCTTTCTTTTTTACTTTTTTCTCTGCCTGGGATGTTCTTCCCCCTTGTTTGCCCCACAGTCAATTCTTATTCATCCCACAAAAGCCCAGTCAGCACCATCACTTTCAGGAAGCCCTCTCTGAGCACCCTGGCTAACAGAGGGTCGGTCTTCTGTTTTCTCACCCATCACTAGCTTGGTACTTACCATCTGTGGGTGCTCCTCTAGGAGAGAGTACAGGCTTTGGACAGCTTTATGTTACCAGGACACAACCCGGAATGAGGCTTAGGGTGGACGCTTGTAAAGACTCATGGACAAAACTAAATACCCCCAAGCTGTCTGGCGTCACTGACACAATGAGGCAGCCCTCACCTCACTTCCGCCTCTTTCTAGGGAAGCAGAAAGCTGGTTCCTTGGGCCTCTAGGTTATCTGGCTATGGTGGCTACCCAAGCCTCAACCCCCACCTCCTGGCTCTCTCATGCCCTCCGGCAAGGACTAGATCTCAGAGGTCTCAGGTGGCCACTGCCCTTCCAGGGCTGAGCGCTTTGACACCCCACCTTCTACCTTCTCTGGTGGGAGACGGCCAATCAGAGGGACAAGTCTCAGGCCTTGAGTTTGACCCTGTAGCTGCCAGTGTCAGTAGACTTCAGACTGTTTCTGGATAGAGCACCAGCTTCCTGGTGCCTGGCTCACCTCTTCCAACCCGTGGGGTTATGCCATTGGGCTCTACTTTCCCCAAACATGGGTCTTATTACTCAAGAACAGAACCCATTAATCCTCCTGATTCCAAAGGAACAGTCTCCTCTGTTATGCCTTGCATGGAAGAAGCTCAACTTCAGGGTGGGAGGGTACCCCCCCCACACTCTTCTGTGCTGTTCTGTATTGTTCATATAGCATATGCCTTTTTTAAAAAAAATATTTTTTGTGTAACCCTCATGTCCCTGTGAAACCCAAACGCAGCAAGGAGCGCCTGCCCTCTGGTGGACAGGTTGCGTACTACAGGAGCTCAATGTGACAGTGGACCTTCTGTTTTAAGTAAAGACAGTGCTGGAGGCTTTTGGAGATCCCTCATCCAGGCAGTCCTGGACTTGAGCGTGTCTGAAGCAGAGCTGGAAAGCATTCAGAATGACAGTGTAGACACAGAGAGAATCCAAGAGCTTTAAATGCAACTGAGGTTTCGTCATGCCTCTAGTCATCCACCCCTCCCCCATCCCTGCTTATGGATACACCCTGAGAATGCACAGGCCTGGATCTCAGCTACAGGGGAGTCTTGGACCCTGTTATCTGTGGTGCCCCCTGACCCCCGTCATGGCCCTGTCCCCCATCCTCCCCACCCGGCCCAGCCCAGCCCCTGGCCTCACCCTGAGGGAGATGAGTCGCAGCCGGTAATCCTCAGTGTGAATGACTTTCTGCACGATGATCTCCACACCGTCGTATACCACCTGCTCCTCCGGCCAATACTCAGTGCACTTCTGCAGGGGCCCAGACCAGCTGCTACACTCACAGTCCCCGCACCCCCCAGTCTCCCCAGTGCCCCGCCAGGGCCAGCAGGGCAAGATATGAAAGGGCAATGGGTTCGCAATTCGATAGTGCAGAGTTCAAATCTCAGCTTTGTAACCTGTAGGTTACTTCCCCCTTCTGAGTCTCAGGTCCCTCATCTGGCAAATGGGAGTAATACCTACTTCAAAGGACTCTTCTGGGGATTTGAGTAAATGGGCTGGTGCCAGTACAGGAATTGCCAGAGTGAGCCCTGGCTGGTGGGGAGGCAGCCAGGCAGCCTGTTTCCCATCACAGGGTGGCCCGTCTACGTGGCCCGGAGCAAATGACCTCCTTGCTCGGCTTCCCATGTCCCCACTTTGGCGGCAGGCTACCAACCTCCCAAGACTGTCCTCAGGAGGAATATGGAAACAAGATGCTCTGTGAAGGGCACAAAGTGGCAGACCCCTGGGAACAGCACAGTGGAGTGGGGTCGGGGTGGGGGAGGCCTACCTCGTTCATCTCCTCGATGTTGGTGATCATGACGATGATGGGCGTGTGCTCCTGCCACACCATGCGCCAGAAGTCCCCAACCGTGCTGACGATGGGTCCCTGAGTGGCGATGTACACCTTCTCCTCCCCACCATAGCCCTGTGGCCAGCCAAGTCCAGGCTGTCAGGGCCGGATGCAGTGCTCCCTGGGCCTAGTCCCCACACTCAGGCCTTTCCCTGAGGGGTGGGGGTTGCTGGTGGGAGCCACGCTGGCTTAGGGCCAAGCCTGGAAGGCAGATCTTGTGGGCTCAGGCCTCCCTTTCAGGGAGAGGTCACAGGGATGGGGCTACGTACCCGGATGTAGTTGGCATTGATGTAAGAACTCAGAGGGTCTTCAGGGTCTGGTGAGGTCAGACACACTCTGCTGTGGGGGTCTGGGGCGGGGGGAGACAGGTGAGGCTGGTATTTGACAGGTGCGACAACCCCTTTAGGGCAGGGCCCCATCTTATCTGGCCCACTACAGGGCACCCGCATTTCTTTTGAGACTCTTGAAATTTCTCCTTCCCCTGCCCACTAGCCAAACACTGGCCCATCTCTGTGGCCCTGGCTCTCTACCTCTGTGGCATCAGTGCCTGCCCCTTGTCTGTGTCCCTTAAGCTGCCCTGGTCTCTCTGTGCCTCATGTTCTGGAGAGGACAGAGCTAAGTCAAGTAAAGAACGACCTAGGGGACACATCCCCATCAGCAGGGACAAGCGTTTGGCACACATGGTCACTAATGTGCTGGGTCTAATTGAAAAGCACACAGTCTTCCTAAGCCTCAATTTTCCTACCTGTAATAAGGGGGTAAAGCTGCCTACTTCCTACAGTTGTTGGAAAGATAAATAAGAAAACAGCTGGGAAGGTGTGATGTAAACCGTAAAGTACTTTGTAAATATAAAGGACTGTTGAGGTTTGGGGGTAGAAAGCCAAGGGAGAGCACAGGGATGGAAGGTGTGGAGCCTTCTAAGCCTGCCATCCACCCGCGGGATCTCAGCAGCCGATGCATGTATGCACAAACAGCTTTTTTCTTTTTCTTTTTTCCAACCCATTTGCACATCCAATCCCGCAGTTACAGAGTCTTACAACCTCCTGCCCCTCTCCCTGGAGTAGAATCTGTTCTGTTCCAGCTACAGCCTCCCTGGATGGAGTCTTCTCTTGGTGGTGAGGAGCTGGGACAGACACAGGGAGGCTGCGTGGGGTATTTGGGGAGGTGGTGGGGGGCCCTGGGCCTGGTTTCTGCTCTGGCTCTGTCACCAGCTCCCTGTCTTATCCCTTCTCTGGGCTTCCCTTTCTCTCCTGAATAGGGAGGGCTGAACTAAAGAATGTTGCCAGCACCCATTTCTGGGGCTCTCCAAGGCAGGACAGGGGAGCTGGAGAGCTGGGTTCGAGTCCTGATGCTATGACTTGCTGGTAGTGTGAACGTGAACCATTAACTTAGCTTCCCCATGCTCTGTCTGCAGACTGGAGACATCCCTTCCATCCTAGCCCTACTGGTCTTGTAAAGGTGAAAGGAGTGAATGGTAACTTGTCCCTAGGCCAGTAACTTAGCCCAACACGCACTATGTAGCCCAGAGCTGTTACGACTGCATTTATTACCAGCTTCCCTAGAAGTTACTGGGTAGAGAGAATCCCAAACCAGGGAGGGGAAACAGGAGACACTCATAAGCCTCTGTTCTCCCTCCCTTTTATGCCCAGCCCCAAGGCCTGAGGTCCTGGCAGCTGATCTGGGGACGGGGCAGCAGAGGAGGAAGGGGAAGGGAAGGCGACGCTGGGTGGTCCAGGCAGAAGAAAGGAACAGGGAGGGAGTGCTGAGGGGCCGGGTCCCTTTTTGTGGATACCTGCCCAGATTAGGGGCTAGAAGTGGGCAGAGAACCCTCGGGCCAGACACCAGGGCCTTTGGCATGAACTGGGGACACGATGAGCCCACTGCCTTTGTGCCTGGCACTGTGCTTAAGGGCAGGGACTCCTTGACAAAGGAGGTAGGGTCCCTGCCCCCAAGTACTAGGCAGGCAGGCAAGCAGTGGGTGGTCTGACCGCTCCAGGCTGGGTGTGATGGCCCAGTAGGGGCACAGTAGGCGACACCATTCTGTCTGATTCCAGGGCACAGGCCAGGATGGGGGATGGAGACATGAGCTGGAGAGGAACCAGCTGATAGAGGGTCTTATAAACCGCGCTTCTAAGGCTAGACTGGAACACAAGGAATACAAGGGTGATAATGACAGTTTCTAAGGAGGAGAAGGACACGACTGGATTTCTGTTTCGCACCATTTCTGTGATAATGGTAGACAATGGGCAGGAGGGGAGAGCGCAGGACTCAGGAGACCCGTCAGGAGATTACTGCCTGGCCCAAGGCCAGGGGCATTACGTCCATGCAGTCTTTGCAAATGGTGCCCCTGGAACTGGGCAAGAGAGACGCCCTAACCCACAAAAGTCACATGGCAGTGAGGATGGAGAGGGAGAGCTGATCCGAGAGACGTCCATTCGTTTGTTCATTCATTCATTCCCTCCCTCCTTCACTCAGATAGGAGCAGAAGGTCTACTATGGGCCAGGCACCATTTTGGTATTTGGGAAACACAGTGGCAAATGCACAGAAATCCCTCCCTCATATCTCGTCTTCTGTGCTGCCAGCTGGGGTTACCGGTCAGTCTGTCCTATGAACTGCCCTTGGATCTGTTCCTCCCATTAGACTGGGAATGCCCTGTGTCTCATTCATGCCTCCATTCCCAGCCCCTGGGGCGGGGGTTCAGCCAATGTGTGCCCAATGAATGAGAAAACGAGCCTCCCAGCGCCCTGGATCTGGCAGGCCCCTGTCCCCTACACCCCCACGCCAGCCCAGTCTCTGAGGCCCAGGGTCAATTCTTGCTGGCTGCGGAGGATGCTCTGTGGGGGCTCCAAGGCCTGGAGGCTCAGAGCTGAAGTGGCTCAAGAGCTTTCAGGGATCCAGTGGGGACCAGGAGGAGAGGTGGCCTGGCTCCCACCCACCCCCACGGGCCATTCTGAGTGAGCAGCAAGGCCCTGGGTTCTGGGGGACCTGAGCCCCTCCCTCCACAGGGGGCTGGTTGGTTGGAAGGTGACAAGATGAGGAAAGAGGTGAGCAGCCCTGAATAATGCATCCTGGCCTTAAATGGTGCTTTGTTTAACCGGAACTACCTAGAGACTGTGTAACCATAGCAACCACAAGTCGATATTTTAAAAGTTAAAAATAAGTCATGACATCTTACATGTTGTTGGAGATGCTGATGGCAAAACTGCTTTTTTAAAGCCTCGTTACTCCATAAACTGAGTGGAGTAGGTTGGTGGGGATTCACTTTCAACAAGTCACCTCCTAAGCGAGCCCTGGGGCCTGGGGCCAGAATTTGGCAAGGGTGACAGGCAGATAGGGGCTTGATGAAAGTTATCTGAAAATCACACCCCAGGGCTGAAAGAGGAGTGTTAGGTAACCTGGTCTAACTGCCTTCAAAGGGGTAAAATCCCTCTCAGATCTGCCAGGGGATGGATCATGCAACACCACTTGAATACCTTGAGTGGCGGGGAGCTCACGCTCTGGCAGACAGCTCATTCCCTTGTGAGGTGGCTCTTGCTGTTAGAGGACTCATAGTCCGACCCAACTCGACTCAAGGTAGACAAAAGAGCTTGCTTGATTCCAGGGTCAAGGAGGTCCAGGCTGAAACTCAGTTCTGCACTTCCTACCTATGTGACTATGGGTGAGTCACTTAACATCTCTGAGCCTTATTTTCCCCTCTTTAAAATCTGCCCATTCTGAAGAGATAAAGAGGCCTTTAAACTCCTGTCTGGGAGCTGCTATTATCCTCATTCTTTCTCTCTGGGTTTCCACAGCCAGGGCAAGGGTGAAGGAATGAACTCACCTCTGCCCTCACAAGGGGGGCCTTTCCCTTCATTGGGTACCCCCAACCCTCCTCCTCTTCTCCTGGTGACTCTGGACACCTAGCTCTAGGGTTGAGGTCTTCCTCAGGGCAAGGGGCACTGAGGTGAAGGTGAGCCCATCCCTACCCCCTGGGGCGCAGAGTTACTCACTGGGAAGGATGGTTTTATACCGGTTCTTCCGCACCAGCCCAGGGATGTCATACTCCTTTGGATCCACAAAGTTCATGGGGATTTCCTGTGAGAGGAGGACACGGGGGTGTTAGCAGCTGTGGGCTGCCTCTCACAGACGTTTGAATCCAGCACTGGTCAGCCCTTAACTTCTAGCCCAGACACTTGCTTGAATGCATACATTCATTCAGTGAACATTTACTAGTAAACGAGTCTGCACGTAAAAAGCACTGTGAATTGTGTCTGGCACATAGAAAGTGTATAATAACAGTTATTATTACAACTGTTGATCCAGAGCCAGCCTGGCATGTAGTAGATGCTCAGTAAATGGCTGATGAACAAGAACAAGAGAAAAAGTGACCCAGCCAATTCCCGCCTTCTACCACACGCCCAGAGCTGCAGTCAACCTGAGTGGCTTTGCAGATCCAAGGGCCCGCCCTGGACATCCCCACCTCAGGAGCTCGGCTTGGGCAGCTTGCCTTGTGGGAACATCCACCCCATCCTCCTCTTCCTCTGTCCTGTCCACCTTAAACGACACCTCCTCCAAGAAGCCTTCCCCAATTCTCTGGCAGGAAAGAAGCCTCCTTCTTTGATGTATTTGAGCTTCTCAATCTTGTTTTGTGTCAAAAGCCCCAAGTCCAAAGTTCTCTGCTTGGCAGGTGAGATGGCCTGGGATCGGGTCTTTGTTTCTGCCGCTCCCCGAATCTCCCTGCCAGCCCCGCCTCTCCCGCCGACAGGGGACCTGCTCTCCAATTACATGTCTGTCTCTCTTCCCTGCTGTGAATATGCCCCTTGCCCTCCTGCCTCCAGGTCTGAGCTCCCAGCATTCCTTCTGACCTTTCGCAGGTTCAGGAGCACTGTTCTCACCTTTCTCCATCTGTCCAAACAGTTCCCAGCCTTTAAAGTCCCCTCTTGCGCCCTCCCCACTATTCCTGGGGTGACTCCCCAGTGCCTCTGGCTTCTTTGCTCCCCCTTCACCTGTCCACATGGCTCAGTGTCTGACCCCAGACAGGTTCACAGTGTCCACAGTTTCAGGACATAGTAAGTATGGGCTTCAAGGATCACTATACTCAATTTCTAGGGTTACTATGAGAATCCACCCCCCCCAAAACCAACATGTACAAAAATGCCCATGGAGTGAGGGTATAGGCTGTGTTCCCCTGTCTCTGGGCCAGAGTAACAATGATCTACTGAACAGGAAACACCAGAGAGGATGCAAGCCCCTTCTTCAAGGAGAGGTGAGGGTGGTGGGAACTTACAGCAAAGCTGAGGGTGGGGTAGTTGGGTAAGACTTTCTGGAAGCATCCAGTGAGGGGATGATGTGAGCAGATGCCTGAGAAGAGAAAGGCCTGGGGGTGGGGGGAGGTGGTGGTCCAGTTTGAAGTGGACAGTCCCCATAGGCGTGGGAGGCTGGCCCAACTCAGCTAAGATAGGCCATGCCCAGCCCTGGAGAATGTGGAGCTGTGGGTCAGAGGGCGGCAGAGGCTTTCTCAGAAGAAATAGCCATCAGGTCCAGGTAGGAGGCAAGGTGGCCTGTGCAAGGGAAACTGAGAGAGGCACATGACTGTCCCATCCCCCTGGCTTCTCCCAGGAGGGGCTCTCCCCAAATACTCAGGGCCCCTTGCCCTTTTCTGCCCACACTGGTGGGTGAGTTCCTGGATGGGTGAGTTTGAGTGAGGAACGCACTTTTGGGCCCAAGTCCCTTCCTTCCTCCTCCTTGGGGACCCTCCTGCAGAGAAAGAAATGTAGGGGTACACCACCTTGGGTGGGTAGAAAACTTGTTAATTCCTAGTATCAGGAAGCTCGCTATTGCTCTGCACCTAAGCCTCATTCCAAGCTTAGTTTCATCAACAAAAATGAAGGTGATATTGTCATCTCCCACGTCTTAGCTAACGACCGGCTGAGCGCTCAGGCAGGCAAAGCAGACATGTCATTTATTGGGCCCCTCTAAGTCCATCAGGAGGCAGCTGGAGGCCCTTGCAGGGGTCTCGGGGGCTGGAGGTGACTGGAGAGTTGTCAGAGGATGAACAGTGCTTGGAGATGTTGGGCAGCAGGAGGGAAAACAGCTGAGTCAGAAGGAAGGCTTTCTATCACTTTCAAAGCACAGTGCTGGGCAGTTAGGACTTGGGGACGCCACTGGACACGAGTCACTGGGCTGAGGGCTCTGCACATGTTAGCCATCTCTTTAACCCTTGCAACATTCAGTGATTTTTATCCCCATTTTCCACACAAGGAAACTGAGGCTCAGAGGGAAGCAGCTTGCCCAAGACGGCAGGAGAGCTGATGGACACCCCACTTCACTGCCTGGCTGGATGCATGACTGATGTAAGCGGCAAGGTCTGCCCGCTGCGGGTGGCTGGCTGGGGGGACTCACAAAGAACTCTGCCTGCAGCAGGAAGGGGTCCAGGGCCTTCTCGTGAAGCTCCTCGGCCTGCAGGACCCGGGAGGCGCTGAGCAGGTACTCCCGGGCTGACTCCTCTCGTGGGGACATGAGGTAACCAAAGCCCTCCTCATTGCAGCCCGGTGTGCACATGTCCAGGGTCAGGGAGACGTTGGAGCCCCTCCTGGAAGGACCGGCAAAGGGGGAGCGCATCTCAGAGGTGGGGAGGCAGGAGAGATCCAGAGTGGGAGCAGGGGGGCACCCAGGAGAGGAGTGGGAGGGGGACAGCACTCCTGTGCGAGGAGTACGAGTCTCAGCCCTGAGGCTGAGGCCTGACTCCCCATCTCCTGCCTCCTGCAGCGGAGTCGCTAACCGAGGGAGGCTGGGGGCCCCAGTTCCAGAGGTTCCATCCAAGGCAATCTCAGCAAAGCCCTCCCTGGGCTCTCTTCTGTCACTGCTGTCCCAGCCCTGTGGCCCCAGGTAGTCATGAGAGTGGGCACCTGCCTAGAGCAGAGAAGCAGGGCTCTACTCTCTGTGTCATGGCCTTAGGCCCACCAGTCCTGGGTAAGGCTGCCAAGGAGTCATGGACATCTCCTCCAGGAGAGGTCAGGCCCCTTGGCTGTCAGGGGAGGAGGGAGTCCCGGGGCGGAACACAGCAACACAGATGTCTGCACTAGACCAGCTCCACTATCATGTTCAGGGTCTACGGCCCAGGGCAGCTGAAAAGCCCTCATTATATAGGAAGGGAAACTGAGTCCCAGAGAGAGGACAAGAATTGCCCAAGCTCACACAGTAAGGGGATGGCAGAGCTGAAACCGAGAGAGAGGTTTTCTGACTCCTCATCCAGGGCTTCTTCCATGACGTCGTATGGGTTACGCAAACCTGGTGTGATCTGGCTTACCCAGCAGGGTTCTGAAAAGAAGGTGCTGACACCTCCCAAATTATGCTCTAGGGAACACTAGGGGACACTCTATAAAAGTATGGATGTAGGGTTCACTCTATAGAAGTTGAGGAATGCCACAGGCTACCTCCTTGCTGATTTACAATGAACACAATCATGTTAAAGGTCCTGACAAATCCTGTAATAAATGAACCTACCCAAACTTGCTCGAGTGTGGGAATTTACGTGTGACTGTACACACATGTGTACCTGTGTATGCCTATGTGCTCATGTGCAGTAACAGCATTTACCTTGGGCCATTCTGATCTACGTAATCAGACCTGAGGAGAATGTATCTACACTGGTTAAACTATGAGACTGGCTCTGACCTCCACTGGGAGTCAGAGTCAGGGGCCTGCCCTTCTGATGCACACCTGAGACCTCAAGAGCCCACAGAGCCCACCCCTTCTCTGCCCTTCCCACCTTTCCTGTAGACCCATGGACTTGACAGTCAGCGAGGCAGGGTCGGCCTCGGGCTTGATGTCCATCACACAGTCAAACACAGGAGTCTCAGGGACGGGGTCCAAGTCCAGGAAGTCATCCTCGGCCTTCTCTTCCATCCACTCGGAGTAGGTGAAGGAGGGCTGGCGGCTCACTGACTGGCGCCTGTCCTCAGGGGGCGGTGCGGTGGGTGGCTCTGGGGGGGCCCTTAGGAGGTGCCATGCCTAGTTGGGAAGATAAAGCATCATGGACCTGGGGCCATGCTGGCTAGCCCTGGAGTGATGGGGTAGCCATGAGATTGAGCCCCCTGCCCTCAGTGAGTCTAGAACAGCCCTGCTTTCCTGGGAGCGGTGTGCATGGCACTGTCACCTAGATGGGAGCTTCAAGCCCCCACTTTACCCCCTGCCCCCTCCCCTGCCTGCCTTCAGTTTTCTGGGGATTGAGATCTTCTTGGAGGGGTGTGGGGCTCCTACACTAGTCTTCTCTGGCCTTGGTCCTTCCCTCAGCCTAGAACACCGCAAACCCATTTTCGAGAAGAAGGTGCCCTTCATCCCAGGCTGGGCACACTGGTGTAAGGAGACAGATGCCCTGACCTGAAACATCTAGCTTGGAGATCATATGGGAGCTGGTGGGGGCTGGGCCTCTGGGTCTGAGGAGGGGAGCACTGAGGTCAGGTCAGGAGGCGCCTTACCAGGGTGGTAATGAGGATCACAGACAGAGTAACCAGCAGCAGACTGGGGACTTCCCAGGTCCCAACACCCAGCCAGGCCTGGGGAATGCGAAACAAATAGGTCAGAGGGTGGTGGGGACGCAGTTCTCATCCATTCTGACAGTGACAAAACTGAGGCTCTGAAAGTTGCCAACCAGGGCTGGGTGGGGAGCAGGGAGAAGGGTTTTAGGGGTGTGGAAGTATCTTCTGAGCTCAGAGAAGCCCCATCCAGGGCTTGGTGACACTGGAGGTCCCCAGTCGCTCCCTCCTACCTGGGAGCTCCCTGGAGCTTACTCACCGTGGGTCCCAGCTGTTCCAGGAGTGAGAACAAGGAGGAGAGGAAGTCTGTGGCATTCTGTGACCAGATGGGGCCATAGCCGCTGAGCCAGATCACCCCGCAGGCAAGCTGGGGCAGCCGGGGTAGGGGGAATGAACTGAGTTTGGAGCCTGGGCTTCTTGCCCTCGTATTCCCCCTGCAGAGCTCACCTGCAGCCTCACCTAGCCCCCCCAAAGTCCAGACTTCTACGACTGAGGGAAGAGGCCAGGTACTGCGTGCACGGAGAAGGCCTCAGGATGCTCCCTGCAGAAAAGCTGACTGGAGGGAGCCAAGATAAAGCCCCTCCCAGAGGGGATCTCCCCTCCCCAGCCAGGTACATACATAAAAGGAAAAGTTTCCAGAGCTATCTCCCTAGACAGGAAGTCCTTGGAGAGATCCCTGCAGGCCTGGCTGCTAGGGAACCCTAAGTTCTGCTTCTCGGCTTAGGGAAGGCAGGCTGTGAGGGTCTTAGCTAGCGAGGCTGTAGCTGAGAACCCCAGCCTCCTCCACACACCGGCCAGAGAGCTTCGAGTCACCGAGGGGCACCGAGAAGGCCCCTCATCCCCCACGAGCCCCAGGCGGCCATCTTGGCGAGGACGTGGTGGGCTCTCCCTCCACCTGCCCTCTCTCCAGACCCTCGTGAGGCCCGAGGTATCCTTACCAGGAACTGCGAGGCAGCCAACAGGCACAGGCTGCTCCTGACATGGAGGGAGTGGCTCCCGGCGCCTTGAGGTGGCGGCTTCTGAGCGGGCTCCGAGGGCGGTGAAGGCGGCAGGGGCGGAGGCATCTCTCTGGGCGAGTCCATGAGCCCTTCGGCCTGGTCCAGTGCCTCCATCACTACCGGCTGGGGGAGACCTGTGGAAGGTGGACAGATGCCTGGTGACTTGGGCCCCGGCGACCCACGGCGGCCCGCTCCTTCTGGGGTGGCTGTGGCTTCCTCTCAATCCGGGATCAGTCAGCGTGGCTCCACTTCCAGCCGTCACCCTCGATTAGCAAAGCAATATTCACCTACCTTCGTCAGAAAGAGCTAAGTGTGGGTGGACAAATTATTTCTCTTTTATTTCTCCGGTAACAGAGTTAAAATGGCAGGAGGTTTTTCAGGGAGTTAACATCGCTGTGTTTACGCAGTTTCATTCTTTTCCATTTCTTAAGGAAACAAAAAACAACCACCTCAAACTCAATTAAAAGGGAGAGAGAGAGAGAGAGAGGAAAAAAAAGACACGGCATAACCAGGCCGTGACCCCGAACTGCCCTCCCACGCCTGCCTTCCAGATTTTTGTCTCTTGTGGTCTGTGGCCTGACTGGGGCTGGAGGCCAGACCCTGGACAAGATCCCAGCTGTGCACCCCTTCCCCACCTCAAGGCCGCACACAGTGGGGGCGGTTGGGGTGTGTGGAGGAAAATCTTGGGGTATAAAATCAATGTCTAATGTCTCGATCTAGTTCTGGGTCTGTCCCTAGTTGTGTGACCCTGGGAGAGTCACCCCTTCTCTGGGCTTCGGTTTCCATACCTGGGGGAAAACAGAGGTTCAGCTCGACCCTTGGGTTCTGTACTGCTTTATGGAGCCCTGGTGCTTTCTCAGAAGCAACGGGTGTTACCAAGAGCTCTGAGTCCTTGGGATGGAAGCTCTGCTTGTCCCCATTCCATACCCTGGGTTCCTTCTCAGATTATTTCAACACAGGGTTCCACGAGTAAAAACATGTGAACACCACTGGCTTAGATCTGAGGAACTGGCCATAGGGAGTCTATCGGCATCCACTCTGGTTGAGTCCCCGGTGTTGGATGTCTCCATTGGAAGACACAAGGTTTATCCTACTGCCAAGAAGAGAGGGGCTAGCCAAATGGGTGTTTAACAGCTTGACAGTGGGATGGGGCTGTCCACACAGCACCGTGTAAATGGGACAATGGACTCCTTTCCTAGCTGGGTGACAACGGAACACCCCTAGCCAAGACCACGTGAGGCTAACAGTTTTTTGTCCACGTGCTTGCTTGCCCACTGGACACACATTTACTGAGCTTCTTCCGTGGCCTGGATCACCGGTGTGGTGCAACGGGCCCAGGTCCTGGTGACCGCTCTATCTGGTTCCTCCCGGGTTCCTCCTTCTAGATGCTGACCTGGCGCGGCTCCCCACGTAATGTGATCCAGCCACACTCCTCGCAGTTCCTCAGGTGAGCTCACCTTTTTGCTCTGTGCACCCCCACCCCCCATGTTTTGTACCTACTAGTCCCTCTGCTCGGAACATTCCTCCAACCTCCTGCTCCCCTCCCCTGCCCACCCCCCCACACTCTGCCAAGTTAACTCCTCTTCACCTTATAGAACTCACATCACATGTCACCCCTGAAGCTGGTCCTCCCCTGCCACAGTTTTCCTAGCATGCCCTGCCTCTCAGTACCACCAGCAGCAACAATACATCTGGAATGTGGGAGACCCTGCTCGAGTGCTTTATGTATGTGTGACTGTCTTCCCTCATCACAGTACTCCTATGAAGTCAGTACGACAATGACTATCATTTTATAGAAGAAGATGAGGTACAGGGAGGGTATAAGACTCTGCCCCGGTCATTTAGCTAAGAAGTCATTGAGGCATGTTCAAACCAAGGCAGATAAATGGGCTCTGGCTGTGGCTTGTAAAATTATTCACTGAATATCATCTCTCCAACTTGTCTGTAATTTCCACAAGGGCAGGAGTGGAGCCCGTTTTGTTCATCGTAACTGTCCACAGCATCTAGCAAAGTCCTGACAGGTAAGTTGACAATAAATATTTCTACCAAAATATTTATGTGCAGGATGGTAGGCCAGTGTTAACCACTCAGTTTTCTTACCAGATAACTGGGGATGACGATACCTTCCTCAATAAGCTGTGATGAAGACTGTAAATACTATAAATGAAACACTCAGCATGGCACCTGGCATCTAGTAGGTGCTCAATAAATGTCAGATTATAATAACAACGTTAGCTCCTAATTCCTGCCTTCAAGAGGTTCCCAGTCTCATGGGGAAGACAGACCAGTGGATACACGCCCATAATCCACTATATTCATTGGAAAATCCAAGTGCTGGGGGAGTCACTGAGCACACAGCTCAGATCCTGGCCCGCACCATGAAAAGGAAAAACTGCTGCTAAGGATGGGTCCTGCAGGAAGCCAGAACTTTCCACCGTTGAGTTGCAGAGGCTTGATTGCTCAAGAGACGAGGTCAGAAAAAGCGGTCAAAGGGTGATGCCAAATTCGGAAGGGCAGGAGGGGTCCAGAGCCCAGAGGTCACCTGGCTTGGCTCTACAATGCATAACCTGCAGACTATGGGCTATTCCTCCTTCTCCTTGGGATTCAGTTTCCCCCTCTGAAAAAGAGGGGCTTGAACTTGAACCTGGTGTCTCTCAGATGTTTCTGCCACCCTCAGAGGAGAGGGGACATGGGTTTTCAGGAGAATAACGGCAAGCTCTCACGATTTTGGACCTTGCTGCTTTGTTTTAAAATTCATGGGTGCTCTGGGTTCTATGCTATGGCGTATCTGTACTTGTTTTGATATTAAAATAATGGGCTTTTACCCCCTCCCAAAGCTTTGAGTCAAATTTCTCCTTCAGGAAAATGCTCTACAATTTATCCCGTGGCTTTGCCCTCAGGGGTACACGCACCTCAGTCTGAGAAGCGTGGAACCTGCAGGCAATAAGACATCATGCCATGGTTATAAAAGATTCTGTAAATGAATATTTAATATCATGGAAGGAAATTTCGATGGTATGGTGAAAGGCAAGGTGACAAAACAGTATTCTCTTCTTGGCCTTAAAAATTAAGAAAATACAAATGTGCAGATAAGAAGGTGGTAATGCCCACCATAAGATGGGAAGTTAATGTGAGATGCTGCTTGGGAAGCACACTGCATGGCAAACTTCTGGCATACAGTAAGTGCTCAATAAATGCTGGATACGGTAAATGGAAAGAACAGAAGCCAGGTGTTCACAGTGGTTCTTTGGAGGAGGGGGAGAGGAGAAGAGGGCTTTTTTCACTGTTTATATATTGTCAATTTCCTCCGATACACATACACATACAGTGATATGTAGATACATAAACACACGTGTGCCCAGATACATACACACATATACACATACACATGTATTTATATATAGTGAAAGAAATACTTAGAAGAGGGACCACTGCTCTGAGTTCAGACACCACGAGGCCTCGTTGATACTCCTAGATTCGGGGCCCTGACTGTCATACCTGTCCCACCTAAATGCATGAGGTGGGACATGAGAGCGCGAGAGTGTACGCAGCTCTGTAACCCACCCAGCAGCGTAACAGCCACTCCCAAGACAGGCCCCCTGATGATGCAGGGTCACCACTTTTCTGTATAAAAGACAGCAGGTCGATTGCCTGGCACCTTGCGGGGGCTGAAGGGGAACTGCAGGCTGGTAGGACCCTGTACGCCCATCTCAGAGAGAAAAAGTGCAGGCTGCTCTTCTGTTTTGTTTTGTTTTGAAATCCAGAGGGCACCTGGCAGTGAATCCCAACTGATGGGTATTCACTGAGCACCTGGGAGACGTTGTTACCTTTCAGAGCAGGCTTTACCGAAAAATTGTTCTGGGCAGAACGCGGACGCTTGATTCAGGAAGATACGTTTTCAAAAACACAGTATATCGTGCATGTCGTTTTGGAGGGGGTCCACAGACTCTAAGTTAAGCACCTGTGATCTCGGATGCGGGGAGCAGAGGTCTGTGAGAGAAAGCAGTGGAAGCAGGGGAGGTGGAGAACAAGCTCGGGAACTGTCTCTCTTTTAGTCTCTGTTCATTCAGGCATGAGCCCAACACACACAGATTGGGCACCAACTGTATACTTCTCTGAGCCCTAGGCCAGGGTCTCAAGACACAACAGTGAACAAAACACTCTCTACCTGCAGGCACCACCGTGGTCCTGGCCACGTTTGTCCTTTCGGCTTCCGGTCCCGCTCCTAGAGATTAGGATGTCAGCTCTCGCACTTGCCCTGCCCACCCTGCCACTCGCTATCCTGTGGTGGGAGCGGGACCCCTCCCCGGGCTGGCTCTGCACTGTTCACAGAGTGCTGCTGCACACGCAGTTGCGTTGGCTTCCCTGGGCAGCCCCGTGAGGCAGACATCAGCATCATCAGCCCCGTTTTGTCGGTGAGAGGCGGCTGCTTGTGTCAAAGGCTGGCTTTTCAATAGTTCGCAGCGAGGTAGCTGCCTTGCCATGCGTGAAGCCCTGACTCAGAGGCAGCTCGCTGGCTGACGACGCTGTTAGGCAGGGCTCCTACCGGGCTTGCCTCCTGCGCAGGGTGGAGGGGAGTTTCCAGGCTGGCAAACGGAGGCTGAGAGAGGTCAGATGGCTTGCCCAAGGAAGCCAAGACCTGGGATTCAAACCCAAGGCTTCTGGACAGAGAGTGATCTTTCCAGGCTTGCCCGTTTGCCGTACTGCTTATCAGGAGGGGTCACTGCAGCGAAGGAGGGAGGCTGTGAGAGCCTGGGAGGGAGGGAGGGAGTCCCCACGTCTGGCGGAATCCTGAACCCTCACGGGCTGCAGGGGTGGGGGTGGTAGTGCAGCATTTGTGCCTGACCACCCCCTCCTCCGGGGCTGATGGCTCCTCAAAGGCTACAGAGTTATGGAGGGAAGAAGCCCGGAAGGCAGGTGTTTGGGATCCCGGCCAAAGCTCTAGGGACCCCGGGTAAGGCCTGCAAGCAAATAGCCTTCAGATTTTACCCGGGGCATGTGGAAGCACTGTGATCCCCCTCCTGTCACCTAGCACTTGAATCCCACCATTAAACTCTGCAGCTACTGTGTGCCCTGGGGCTGGCGCCGCCTGAGCTCCGGAACTGTGGCCGCTCCTGTCAGTGACTCATCCTTG